TCACATGACACCATGAGCTCATGTGACGTCAATTTCTCCGCAAAATTTAGCGGTAGGGGTTCCGTTAAAAAGCTTTCCACGCTTTAATTAGCACAATAGACGTTTTACGCAATTACCGAAGCATCAAAAAGAATGCCGGGAACGGAGGTACACGCTCTGCGCGCGCTGGCGTCTTCAGCTCCTAACTGATCGAAAGCAAAAATCTAAAACAAATGGCACTTCGCACGCGCGTTTCACGGACGCTTTATTTTGGGTGTTTACCTCGAATCTTTTTTATAGGGAAGGCGAGCACGTGCAGGCGCGTGTACCTACATTCCCAACATTATTTTGGTGCTTGGATTATTTAGCAAAAGGTCTATTGGCGGCCGGTTCGAATATCGAGATAAGCGAGCTATCCGTTGTCCAGGAGTTGGCTCACTCGCAGAACACGCAGTCGGAGGACGCAGTGCCGCCGACGGCAGATCCAGACTTGATTAAACGAAAGGCCTCCCTCGGTTCCCGCGACGCGGCGCCACCACCCCGTCTGACTGAAACACATCATGCGGTCGCCACTTCGGACAAGAAAAAGAGGGGAGGGCGGTTTGGGTAAGTGCCTGTGTGGCGACGTTACTCGTTCATGGAGTTCCCAGTATTATATCCTCACCACTTGTTACATCTCCGACCAAATAGAGGAAGATCTCGTGTTTGTGCGTTCCTCCACCTATATTGTCATTCTCAGTGTCATGTCAAGGCGCACTAAAGATATACACGTATGTTGCTATAGTTTATCAATGTTTGTTGCTCATTTATCGGTACGAGTTTGACAGCCCGTAACTAAGACGTCGGTATGATAGAGACGTTATCCTCGTTGTCAAGCAGGAACATAAGCTTCAGTCGTTAATATATTCGCCACTGGCGAACAATAGTTTGCAAGTAAACTGTACTAGGGATCGATCGATAATATGAAACCCAATTTATCGGCCAGTATAAATGAACTACGCATCGCAGGAAGTCGAAACTCCGGGACAATCTAACGCTAGCGGTGGTGATAAAATGCGAAAGTTTGAGCGCATCACGTTGGAGTTATGTCTCGTTAATACGGGTCCCGTCAATAACAATACGGATACCCCACCATATACACAGGGTGTCCCCCCCCCCCCCCCCCCCCCAACCACACACAAAAAAAAAAAAGTTTCTTTGTCATCGCCGTTAAACGCTTATTCTCCGCCCAATGTAGCGCTAGTGGCTCGAACCAGATGCCAATGTTTGAGTACTAACCGTTATCTAACACTAAAGTCATATCTGTTTTCCTGAAATTTCCGTTGAGAAAACTGGCTATGGTGCCAGTTACCGAAAAACGGGCAAAAATGTGCCCCAGTTTCCTATTAAAAATTAAGAAAAAAGAATCGCTTATAACTTTTGAACGAAAGAAGAAATGGTTAGTTCTTAAACTTTCGCAACTGGTTCGACTTGTTGCGCTACATTTGGGCGGAGAATGAGCGTTCGGCGAGAGATATTTTTGCGCAAAAAAATAAAATGTAAACTTTATTGTGGGGCACGCTAAAGTCTTTCAGGGCCCAATTGGGTGAATACATGCATTTTTGCCGCGTTAATATAAACAACTTTCATTATCGACAATTTTTTTTCCGGGAACGAAGGTGTTTATATTAACGAGACCGTACTTTACCTGGATCAAAAAATACAAAAAGAAAAACCTGGACGTCGGCTCACAGATGAATTTTTCTTTATCTCTGGTATATTTTAATCCAGGGGACGTCATGTGCTCACATTCTCGCGCATTTTCTTTCGCATTTTATCGCCACCAGTAGCGTCACATTCTCACGGAGTTTGAGTATGTTGCGTTGCGTAGTTCCTTTATGCGCGCCAAAAATCTGGGTTCAATTCTCTCCGTGAATCCCGTTACAGTCTGTAAAAGTTAGTTTTAATAACTAGCGAATAAAGTACTGCCATAATTAGTTAAGTTACACGTAATTAAGTTACAAATATAGTAACACTTGCGAATGTATTTACGATGGTTGATTGAAAAGCAACGAGTCTGGATCTTTATTCAGAATCAGATCACTGTATACAGACTCTGAATATTTGTTTTTGCCTAGTACAGCGTCCTTCACATTCAATACGTTTTTCACAAGGTTTCAGGAACGATTCAGTGACATGTAAATCGCTGTTTTACGACGTACCGTTTAGCGTTGCAGCCGTAACTTTTATCACTTAATCGTAAAAAAAAAAAAAAAAATCTGCGCCGTTTTTTTTGTTTTTGTGTTGGGAAGACTTGGTTGTCCTTCTGCGATCAGTTCGTTCTATACTTCGTTGCAACTTAATTAAGTCCAGAGGCAGCCGACGATACGAGCTGATAGGACCAATCAGGCAGCATCAAAAAGGCATCGTCATGGTGTTCGTCATGCCTCTTGCGCTGTTGACGCTTTCTGATTGGTCCCTTTAGCTCCTAGCGTCGGCTGTGTCCGGAGTTGAGAACTGAAACGAAGTATGGATGGAGTGACCCGAGTGCAGTCGGACCAATCTCAGTCAGCGTCCTCAATGCGATAGCAGAAATACTCTCTAAAAAACGCCGTTGAGTTTGCTTTCCCGCAAAACACTCGGAGAGCCAATCACCGCAACTTACGGAGGCAGCTCAGCGAATGACAATGCCG